AGATGTTTAACTGTCCGGAGTCCATGCTCCTAGAAATCTATCCCTCTCTTAAGGAGTTGGCCCCTAACTAGATAAATTCGTGATAGATACAATAATTACAAACCAAAAAAAAATAGATATTTTAGGTATTTAGATATTTTTCTAGGATAGCGTTTTCTTACTGGAATGTATTAGATTGACTATTAGTGAAAACTAGGTATCTTAATATACTGCACTTAGAATTCAGTGTCATATGTTAAATCTAGCAGGTAGAGCAGAACAGGGATGGGGAGGTCTGTGCATGTGTCCATAAATTTCCAAGAAGTTCTCAGACAAAAAACCTCTGAAAACAGGTTGGCATGTCTGTTGTCAGTAAAAGATGAGGAGAGAGGCAGGGATGGATTAGTACAGTTTGGATGGTTCATTTGAATGGTGTATACTTAGGACAGCCCGTGTGCGAATTACATTTGCATTTTTTAAATCCTCAGTTCCTGAAAGTATTTACCTCTCTTACATGATTGTGTTGGGGAAGCCTGCACATATAAAATAATATTAATGTAAATTCTTCTCTGCTTGGACATGCATTCTGGAAATTAAGGTCAAGCTGTTTTATCTAGGTGAATATTTTGTACATTTTTAGCATTTTTAATTTAAAGATTTTGCTCTGCTTGAACATATGTTATGCAAATTAGGTGGTTGATTGCCTTGGGGGAAAGGAGTCCTTATTCTGTGTTGTTAAAAAACACCAAGAACTTTGATTTCAGAGCTCTATGCATTGCTGCTTTTGTCAGTGGGATGTGGTGAAAAACTGTGGTGGTGACTAGCCTTTTCTGAGCTTGAGGTAAGGGGGTAGAATAGGCAAAGATCAAATGTGCTTCCCACTTGGAGGATTTGTTAGCAGCATAACCCACATAACCCTGTCCTTGACAGGAGATGTTACAGAGGTGTGTCTGAATGGCTCAGCATGGTTGTGTATCATCCCCCATAACCTCTTCCTCGTTTTTCCATACTCTGTTAGAAACTCCCTTGTTTAGCTTTAGAAAACTTCCACTCTTCTTCTGTGTTGTTATCTCTTGCCAGTGTATAAGCAGAATAACAACTTCAGCATCAGGTGTGACTCTCTGATGGGGAAAGGCATCTCAGAAAGTCGAAGGTTATGTTCAACCAAAATTCTAAGTCCTTTTCCTGAAAGAAGGCTCATAAATTCATCTATATGTTCCTTAGCTTTTATGAGGTTCTAAGAGATAGAGTCTGTGGATTGAATTACTTTGAGGAGAAATGTTTCAGGATGGCTTCTTGAACTAAAAAAGGCAATGTGTTATTCTAGTCTAATAAAAAGAGGCTTCACTACCTGTAGCGCTTTTCCTTCGAGGGAGGGACTACCATCCTACTGAGGCAGACATTTTGTGTTTAAATTCAGTTAACATCAACTGTGGTTCTGATTTGACCTCCACTGCACTGTAGAACACAAGAGAGAAAATAAAAAATATCCAACTAGAAAAACCTCACTGGAGCTAAAAAGCAATGAGCAGTGTGAAAGATAGGAATTTCTATGTACAAATATACTGTAATATTATTATGTTGAAATGTAGTACTGTATATACTGTTTTAAAAAGAACAATTTGATTAAGAAAAGTGCAATTGAATCAGCCCTCTCCTGAGTGTTCTCCCTGTGATTTTCTTTAGCCAGTAGAAACCTGCATTTCTGGTTTATGAAGCCGCAGTGCTAACATGTAAAGAAAGATGTTATGACTCATTCGAACAACTCTTTGTTCTCTCTTGAAAGCATTGCTGATGATATTTTCAAATGTACTTGGGTTTATCCCTAAGAATGCAAGCCTTTAGCAAGTCTGAGCTTAATGAAAGGCAGATTATGTGATTTTTGTAATGCCATATGATGTGAATGTAATCCTGTTAACATCTTTGATAGCTTTAGTTCGAGTTTTGCTGTAATTTTATCAGGGGAAATAAATGACTTTTCTTAGTTGGCAAAGCTTTCTACAAATGTGGTAAAAATGTATTTTAGGACTAAGAAGTAGCCACTTAGGGATTCATCAGCAAAACTGCTTTCTTGACTCCACTTGAAGAGGCAAATTACTGGCATCAAACCCTGAAATCATGTGGCTTAAAATGAGAACTTGAATTAAAAATGAGGTTGCAGTGTTTTACCTGAAGAGTGCTCTTCCATGCTGGGAAAATATGAGGTTACGGAAGGTGAGGTTAGAAGGGTGTGAGGATAGAGCCTGGCTCACATCCTGGCTGTTCCATTGCAAAGGACTGCCTTGTGCGCACACAGGCATTGCTGAAAGATGCGAAAGGGATTGGCGAAAAGGGACGTGGAGACTACAGCCCACAGTCTGTTTTGGCTGAGGATAACCAAAGCACTGAGCATCTTGCTGTTGCAGAGGTGGAGAAACCCCAGCCATTTTAAGTTGGATGGTTTTGCTCAGCATTTCCTCACAGCTGGACCATCTGTTTCCACAGGACCTGCCACTATAGAAGTGTTAAGTGAGCTGGGACAAGAAAATAAATTGACAGGCATTTGTGCCTAGCAATAGATGTAAAAAGCAGTTAAAAAGCCTTTTATCTCTGAAGGGAAAGTAAGGAGGCTTAAATTTCAGTCAAATCAGGTTTGAAATGTGTGTGTTTCTTGGGGATAACACACTAGCTTTAGTGTCCACAGAAGGAAAGCTGTCCTGAAAGCTTTATGTAGAAAGAGTATGTAGTACTGCAGTCCTCAGCTGACTGAAGCAGAAGACTTGCAGCCAAGAAGGGTAGCTGTATTCTAAGCTGGTGCAGAGTCATATAAGTTGAACTCCTATAAGGCTTAAGCTTCTTTGATTACAGGAGTGTGTACTGTTATTGTAAGATGCCTGAATGGGAAATTGACTACTTAATCTTTGTGGCTTGATTAGCGTTTCTTAGTACTGCTAATAAAACCAACTGATGCTGAGAATAATGCTGCTGGTCAGACAAGGAGTGGAAAGCTCATTGAAAGCAAACAGATTTGAACTTCACATGATCACAGAAGCTCAGCAAGGCTTGCATGGGCCCCACTCCATGTCTCCTGTAAGTCATGGTGCAGGTAATCCTTTCTATACCTTCTGCAAGGATTTACTGTCCACACTGTGGTTAACCATGTCAAAATCCACTGACTCTAAGTGGCTGATGGTAGAGTTCCTTTTGTCTAAAATGTTCTCTTAATGTTTAGTGCCAAGTGGAAAGTGTTGCCATTCTTTATCCACACGTGATGTTAGGAGTCAGGGCTCAAAATAAGAGCTTTTCCTGTGCCTGTCCAATTCTAGGTTCCCAAGACATTGTTGTACTGTTTAAATGAAAATGGAAACAGTTACAATGGTAAAGGTAATTTGCCTTATGTGACACAGAATCATAGAGTATGTTGAGTTGGAAGGGACCCATCAGGATCATTGAGTCCAGTGTATGAATGATAACTATGTCCTTCTTAGTGGGATGCCTCCTCTGCTTCTTTGAATAACAACTGATTTAAAAATAAGACAAGGCAGTACAATTATTGCTTGTATTTTTTGTATTTTTAAGTTGTGTTTTGCTTTGTTCTGTCTTTTTGCTGCGGTGCTCCTGATAGTCACTTTACAGCTGATTCTTGTCTTTGTTCTGACAACCCAAATTCAGTTTCTTGTCGAGGAATCTAATGATAAAATCACTGTGTTGCTCTGCTTTATCCAACATGCTAAAATGAGATTTAGTGAATTTCTGCTTACCTTAATCATGTTTTTCCCCAGATTGTTCTCTGTTTTGTGGCTGATCATTAAGGCTTACTGTACATGCTGAGGGAATATGTAATTGCAGTTGCTTAATGTAAATAACCAGTATGATGGATTTAGACACTGAGAACCTTTCCAGAACATCTTCTGGTTTAAGCAGTTATGTAGTAAATCTGATAAATAGCATGGATATGCAATTCCCATCTTACCAGAGATGTAAGGTATACCTTGTCATGGCTTGCTTTGAATGTGAGTAGCCACTTGAAACTGTTGAATTGGCCCTGCCCTTGTGACTATTGTTACAAAGCCTGACCAAATGCACCTGCTGAAAAGAAAAAAGAATAGACCTTCACTGTTGTCGTGTGATTGATACTATACCGGCAAAGCTAAATTAAAGGATTTTTTAATCAGTGTTCCTTGCTGTTTTAATTTTGAAATTATTTGTTTATAGGCTAAAAAGTGGAATAGTGCAATCAATATCCCACTTCCTCTTCCTGTTTCTATCCTTCTGGTGATTTTGCTACAATCTAGTAGTTTATAAAATATGAAACAGTTAAGCAAAACCTAATTATGAGTTATGTCCATATTTTCTTGTGGAATTTAGGACTGTAATAGTCAAAGGCTCTAATTGATTCTGATGAGGGATCATTCTGTGTAATTGTTCTCCATCTGCCTATCTCTGTGTTGTTGGCTGCAAGGCGAACCGACAAATATGAGGCACTCAGGTGGAAGACAGCTTTTTATAATGCATTCTCAACAGGAAAATGTTGTTTGCAATATTGTCTCCAGCTTTGTTTGCAAATACTGTAGTAGACACCTAATGAAGTACTATTCAAGGAAACAGCAGGATTATTTCAATTCACGGTGCTAGACTGCTCCCCCTTCTACTATCAAAAATATTTAAAAGTAAAGCAAATAAAACTAAACCTTCTTTACAAAAATAAGTAACAGAGCAGCTAATGATGCATAACTTATATCTTAAGGACAGTTTTGCCTCCTGATCTCCATTGTCAGTGTTTGTTTGGGGTTTTTTGTTCTTTTTGTACTGTGTAACTACTAACTTGCCAGCTTCCAAACAGTATTTTACAGAATTATTGTTCAAACATGTATGAAGGCAAAATATTTCCATCTGTACTGCTGAAATTTTTGTTAAAGGCACTGCAAACTGCCTCTTTTTTTTTTTTTAAACAAAGCTAATTAAATGCATGAATGCCACTGCACATAGCTGACAAAAGCAGAGCATCTTTGTGAATAGACTCTGTAAATTCTTTCCCACAGAAGTCAACGAAAGGGTCGGTTGTCCTGGGCTACGTATTTCGTCACTTAAACCTGGTGGAAATAGATTACTTTGGACTGCGCTACTGTGACCGAAGTCACCAAACAGTGAGTAAAACACACAGCAAACTGGATTTTCCACATATAAAATTTACCCTGTTGTGCTGTAAATGCCTGTAAAGCTTTGAATTGTCATACTTTCACTAACTTTCACTATTTCCTGTCTCAGGTATCCAGTAATAATTTCTCTGTTTGTTTGCAGTGGAGTCTTGGAATAGCCACTAATATCTTAGATAGGAACACAGTCAAATACTGAATGGTGTTGAAAACTAAGTGAAGAAAGTATAAAGAGTAAAAAAATTGTTATATGAAAGCAGGATTAATATTTTTTCCTCTTTAATACTGTACCATGAAGCTAGTGCTTGTTGGTTTACACTGTCCAGCTTCACTTTGCCCAGCAGTGTCTGGGAAGCTGTGTCCCTGAGCGCATAACAACCTGCTTCCCTTGGAACACTGGCTGGATGCCTCTTTCAGAGTGTGTTTGGCAATGATATTTTCTCTCTGCCTGAACCATCTCTGTGTCCTTGAGCCCATATTCTCTAGAACCTTCTTGGTAAGGACTCACCAGATGTCTGAGGGTTTTTCCACCAGGAGATTACAGTCCTAAATAGACAAGAAGATTGAAACCAGGCTGAGATGTTTCAGCCGAAGCAGGCAGTGGCTTGTGGCAGCACTGTCTGGAGTTCCCCCACCTCCCCAAATGGTCTGTGCAAGGTTACTGCAAGGGGTGCTCAGCAAGAGAGACTGGTGCTGTATTCACAGGGTGGTCTTCAAATTCCCTTAATTTTATTAAGGGAATAACGCTTGGCCTGTGGTTGAATTAGATCAAGCAGTTACACTTTTGAAGCCAATGTTCTGTGTATGCTTCTTGATTTTCCCCTGGATTAGGAAAGTGTTCAACCCACTTCTGTCATTCACCTGCTCTTGCACCAACACGAGTTGTGTTGTGTGGATACAGGAGGTACAACCAGAGACCACAACTGTGTGCCACCTTACAGAGTACACCTGCTGTGCCATGTAGATGCTACCTCAGTGAATGGCCATGTTTGTACTGCTGCATTTACACCTGAGTTGTGTTGTAACAAAATATGAAAATGCCAGTTCCTCATGTTTGTCTGTGTATGGGTAACTAAAAGCTGATGCTGTTTCATCTAAAAAAGTTCATAAATGAGTCAAAATGTGCTACTGTGTGTAGTTTTACGTGGTTTATGGTGTATGGTTTAATGTTGCTAGCTTGCTATTTTTAGTGAAATCTTGTTAACTTTTAAGAATGGGCGATATAAATGGAAAGTTTCCAAGCGACAAACACACCCTGTGCTTTAGCTGTAAACATATATTCAGTTGCATGCTCACTATGGCTAAAACTCTGTGGGCTGTTGTGGGAATTAGTCCTGTAGTGGCTGGCAAGACGCCTAGATTTGAATTTTGGATTGGATATTTTTTGGATCAACCACAGTAGATTTCCTAAGGAAAGAGGAAAAAGGTTACCTTGCTAATTAGTTTTAAAACCATGCTCCTGAGTTAGTCTTAGAGAGAGAAAAGTGTTGGGAGGTTTGGCTATTTATTAATACATTGCTTGTGGTGGGGAGTGCTTTACTATTTGCACTGTCAGGTTTTTTTGTCACACTATATATTTAACTGAATGATGAATAAAGCAGGGTAGGCAAAACTATGTATTTTAAAGAACACAAACCAGTCACAAAAGAAACATTTTTCTTATTAAGGGTTTGAAAGAACTTGTTATTTTCCCCATTACTTTTGCATGCCTCAGCACTTCCAGGTGGTCTTTTAAGAGCTGTGTTGGTGTGCTACCTCTTATGTGGGTGGTATCATAATTATTTTAGTAGTATGAGTAGGGCTCTGATCAGTGAACAAGGTTTCACTGTGCTATGTACTGTGCTATGTACTGCAGAAACTGGTGACACTCAAATTAGGCTAAGCTGAAACCAGGTATGGTCTTCATGCTTCTTAAGGTTGATGGTCAGTCATGTCTTGATTGACATTTTTGTCTTCTGCCTCATCTGCCAGGACATTTTGACTCATGTGGTGTTTTCAGGTGAGACACAATCACCGGAATATGTGTTGCAGAAGCTGAGGGCGGCTTAGGAAGCTCTATACTGCCTCACAGAATCACAGAATTGTCAGAGTTGGAAGGGACCTCTGGAGATCATCCAGCCCAACCCCCCCCCCCCCAAGGCAGGGTCACCTGGAGCAGGTGACACAGGAATACGTCCGGATGGATTTGGAATGTCTCCAGAGAGGGAGACTCCATGCCCTCCCTGGGCAGCCTGTTCCAGTGTTCTGCCACCCTCAGTGGAAAGAAGTTCTTCCTCATGTTGAGGTGAAACTTCCTGTGTTTTGGTTCATGGCCACTGCTCCTTGTCCCGTCTCTGGGCACCACTGAAAAGAGTCTGGGGCCATCCTCTTGGCACCCACCTTTGAGTTATCTGTATACATTAATCAGATCTCCTCTCAGTCTTCTCTTCTCCGGACTAACAAGGCCCAGCTCCCACATCTCTCCTCATCAGAGAGATGCACCAGATCCCTCATCATCGTTACCCTTCACTGGACCCTCTCCAAGAGCTTCTGGTCTCTCTTGTCTTGATGAGCTCAGAACTGGACACGGCACTCCAGATGTGCCTCACTAGGGCCAAGTACAGGGGCAAGATCCCTTTGCTTGACCTGCTGGCCACACTCTTCCTGTTACAGTCTCTCACCATTTTGATATTTGGGGAAACCATTGGCCCAGTGATGTACTTATCCTGCTACTTTCCTGGTTCCTGCTGTGCTGCAGCTCCCACGTGTTCTCCACATATTCCCTTTGCTATGGCCTTTATCGCATTACCAGGGGTCTTTAGGACAGCCAAGCTAGTTACTGTTCTGGAAGGAGGCCAGTATTTTCTTGAGGCACATAAAAGGCAGAATGGAAATAACAATTTTAATGCATAATATCTCATGAAAAGCTGAGCAGAATTTGATGAGGGAAAGGGTAATTTTGAAGCCCAAAGGCATTCCCTTGTCAAATACCAAAAGAATCAGGCTTTTCAAGCATCTTTTACAAGAAATTGTACAGCAGGTTGTGATGCAAATACCCCTCTTTTCTTATCCGATAATGTTGATCTGACTATTATAATGATAATGTACAACATACGATACTCTCTTAGGCTCTAAGAGGAGAAATACAAATACAGAAAGCTGTATCACCATGTTTATTCATACTGGAGCTAAGCCCTCTCTCCATACCATGCACCCACCCTGCAGTGTTGATGTGTTTTGTTTCCCCTGCTATGAGGAAATGTACCAAACTAGATAGGGGAGTAGATTGAACAGGCTGTAATGTAGCTTAGCTATGGAAAGAAGGGCATAATTTTAACAAAATTTTGTTTGCAATCAAAAATGTTTTTCTCTAGGGAATTACTGTCATACAGTGCACTGCATATTCTGACCTCAAGATCTTAGTAAAACAATTGAATTGTACCTAGCTTGTGTATTGTTGAATGGATTTTGGGGGGTTTTTTTGGTATGGATTTTACCTTTGTCCACAAGCACAGTATACTAAATTGTCTAGGAAGAAAAAGACTTGTTGTGCTTTTTAAAATAGATGACATAACCAGTGGAAAGAAAGTGGAGACTGATGATATTGACTACAAGAAAGAAATTTTAGAAGAATGTTAATGGATTAAAACAACCTGGAAAAACCCGGTGGTCAAGTGATTTATAGGTAGTAAGAGTAAACTTTTAGAGTGCAGCAGGATGAATAGGATATTCACATTGATGATCTGATACTAAATATAATCAATATAGCTTCACATTCTAATAATGAAAAGAAGATGTTAAATACATATTTGTATGTAGGAATTGCCTGAAGATTTTTACATTTCTTATATAATAGGGACAACTTGAGCTTAGCAGTTTTAGGTTCTTTGCACTGAACATTTGTAGAAAAAAACCTGACACAACAATTCTAATTGTTAGTGTTGTCTTAAGTTGCAGAAAAATCTTGACAATTTCAGATTATAATTGAAAAATTATGCATTTTCTCTTCAAACTTGTGTTTTTTGCTGTTGTAAACGTGAAAAAAACCTGATGTGTGGCACGATGGGTATGGCTTCATAAGAATCTAATTAAGGCAGTCCAGGATTTAGTTTGAAGTTGACAGATTTTTCTGCACCAGACACTACATTGATTGATACCTCAGCAAACATTTTAACCTAGTTAATATTTTGTTTCAAACAGGTTAATGGAATTTGACCCGAATTTAACCCTAAGCAGATACAAAAAATGAAGATTCCAGATTTGTGGTAAAATGTTTGCAGGCATTTAAAAGGGCTAAATTTGAAATACTGCATGGAGCTTGGATGCATACTGCTTACACATCTGGCTTATATGGGAGCCAGATTTGTAAAACTACAAAGGACAGGAAACCCCATTCATTCTTTATGCTGTACTTCAAAATATTTTTTTTAAATAATTTCTACCCAAAAGTTTAAAGGGAATTATTTCCTTTAATTACATTGTACCTTTATAATTAGTCTTAGTAAATAAAAAATTATTAAAATAATACTATATTGTGTTTGTAAAGAACAATTAGTAAACTAGTAGCCATCACTTTAGTAATTGGACGGTTGCATTGATATGTGCTATTAAAAATTATTATTTTTTCTCCATTTCTTCTGTATATGTTAAATACTTCTTTCACAAAATTTGGCTCCTGCATCTATTTGGGTATATGCTGCATCCTCCATCTCCTTGCAACAGTGGTGAGATGTTTGTAAGTCTGTGCAGAAGAGATACAGGTGGGAAAGCACTGAGAAGTGGCACACTGGATGCCAAGCAGATGAAAGGAGTGAAGGCTGAGCATCAGAGCTGCTTTAGCATTCACAAATGTAGGGTTTGTTGTCAGCAACTGCTCTGCAAGTGAATTAATAAGACACTGGGTTTTTTGTTCCATTTATATTGGCATTTTAGCATATGAGCTTGAAAGTGTAATTATACCCAGAACTATTTATAGATATATGCAAACATTTAACAAGTATCTAATACACATTACTATGTATGCTCTGAGGGCTCTGTTGTTGGGGTTCTTGGATTTCTAAATGTTCCCATCTTTATTGTCTGACTTTGGCTTGAAAAATGCCTTTTCATTATCCATGAAATTCCATTCATCCTTGGCTTACAAATAAAATGTTAGAAATCTCTCACTCCTCCCCCCACCCCTTGCATTCTTCAGGAAAATTTTGGCAGCCTTTGAAATAATAAATAGCTACACAATGATTTTAAGCGTGGGTTTGCAGCATTGCCACAATGCTAAGTACCTACTGGAGAAATGAAAAGGCAGATGAGATTCTTGTCTCTTCCCCACCATGCTGAAGTGTTTAACCTCACCTGTGTGCACCCACATATTTTCTCATGGCAGCTGATACTTATTTTTACTAGTATACGTAGCAGCAATCTGTCTTCCAGGGATGAGGGATGAGAGGCTCCTTTAGAGCTCAGTTTAGAGGGAAGGAAAGGAAATATTTAGTGATATGAATAAACAGATTTCTTCCCTCTCCTCTCTTCAGATGCCCTTTGAATCTGAAGTTTTCCTTTTGAATTTTGTCCCCCTCCCTCAAGCTTGGAAATTGCCTTCAGAAGACCATACAAAGAATATCATTTTACTGCCAGTCAAGTACGACCTAGTGAGAATTAAGTTCCAATGTGACTGTATTTTAATTGCATTGTCTCCATGTGTCCATATGCTCTTTGATTACTTGGCCAAATTCTAGTTTGTCTCATGGCAGTCAGTGAATCACGTGGATACCAAGAGGCAGTGGAGTTCAGATTGCAGAGAGACAACCGGAAATCTGTAACTGCTCTGTACTCCACTTGCAAATTTGAGTGTTGATCCATTAATATTAATTTTTTTATTTTTTATTTTTTTACAAATAATCAATCTACCTATGCATGTAAAGCTCAACTGCAAAGAGGACTAAGAGGTAATGTATCTTGAAGCCAATTTCAGTTTAGTTCAATTCAGGAGAACTTAATGAAGGAGTTATTCTGTGATAGATTTTGATCTGATTTTGAAACAGGATAGTTTTGATATCTTGCAGTGTAGCACAGAGTTGTCAGACTTAAGCAAGTTATACTCACAACATGTTGTTCATTTTGTGATGCCAGTTTTGAGGAGAGGTCAGATCACATTCAAACCGCATTGCATACCCAGAATGTGCAGAATTATTTTGCCTTTTTTCTACCTGTTGACTGTAAAATCTGTGTATCAGCCTATTGTGCTACCTTAGATTGTTGCTGATTTGGAGTACTAATGGGATATTTGAACAGGTGTGATCATTTCTTCTTCCCTTCCCACCTTCTCTTGAGGTTAAGAGGGTTCATTTTTGAATAGTTATTGGATGTATTTGATATAAGCATGTACTGAAGAATTTTTTCATTCAAAATTCAGGAAATTTTCTTAACAAACATTCTAGGATTTGAAATAACAATGACCAAGAGCAAGATATACTGCTGTTTCCGTTGCAGATGGATCAGCAGCTAATGGAAGTTACTAGTTTTTGTATTCTGTCGAAGTAATCACAGAATCACACAGGTTCATCAAGGTTGGAAGAGATCTTCAAGATCATCTAGTCCCATTGTCAGCCCAGCACCACCATAATCACCAATAAACCATGTACCCAAGTGCCACATCCAGACACCTCTTGAACATTTCCAGAGATGGTGATTCCACCACCTCCCCGAGCAACTTATTCCAATACCTGACCACTCTCTCAGTGAAAAAATATTTTCTAGTATCTTATCTGAACCTCCTCTGGTGCAATTTAAGGCCATTTCCTCTTGTCCTTTCACTGGAGACATGGCAGAAGGGACTGACCTCCTTTCAGGTAGTTGTAGAGAGTAATGAGGTCCCCTCTGAGCCTCCTCTTTTCTGGACTAAACAACAGCTCCCTCAGCCACTCTTTGTAAGACATATTTTCTAGAGCCTGATACAATGATAGTTGTTTATAGCCACTTATGAAATTAGTTGCTTGTGATTTTTCACTCAAATACTTTGCAGTGTTTTCCCTTCTTTCTGCTACTTACTCGTTCTAATAGCGATTTTGTTTTTTTAGACCAGAGAAGTTCTCTGGGTAGAAGGGGAAGATTTTTAGATTAATCACATTATGCTTATTCCCTGTAAGATTAGTTCAGGGGTGCAGGTAAGAAGTTCTTTTGTTCGTTGGCCTGTGTAGTTCGTCAGCTAAAAAGGGGTGGGCACTAAGTGAGTAGATTGAATTTGCTGTTAATGACTCCTTCTAGGAGCTGTGTTCTGCAGCCTTTCCAATTCCAGAGTTTTAAGATGGGGTGCCAATCTCAGCTGGTGCAAAAAGCTTGTGTATGAGGGAAGACAGTTGAAGAAAATACAGACAAGAATGGTCTTGGCAACTGCCTCTGCACTTTGTTCCAAAACTGAATCACAGAAATGTCAAGCTAAGGAAGAAATAAATAGCTGGAGGGATTACAAGAGCAGGATGCTGGTGACCTGTGTAGCCATAATGTGAAGTACACAACTGGTCTGTGGTCAGCAGTAACATAAGGATGACTTTTATTAGATGTTTGATAAAGGTGGGGTAGAGTAATCAGTGAGAAATTATACTGCAGATTGTCAAACATTATGGGAACCCAAGTAACAGCTCATCCCTCTGTGGTGCACCAAGCATACGTCGGTCAGTTTGATACAGGTGTCCAACTAGTACTGTAAACACTTTGGTGGAAGAGTCTATGCCCCCCCTACCTTGGTGCAAATTTCTAGACATTCTCTCTCCCTGCTCTGTGAAACCATTTCTGAAAATAAAAATTAATTTTTCTTTGCTTAGTGTGAAGCAAATTTCTTTACACTTGATGGGTACTTGTCATAGAATCGTAGAATGTTTTGAGTTGGAAGGGAGCATTTTCCATGTTAAGTAATTAATTTTTGTAATTATCTGTCTCACAGTACTGGCTGGATCCTGCAAAGACGCTTGCTGAACATAAAGAATTGATAAACAGTATGTATCTGAACTTAAGGGCCGTATCTGAAGATGAAGTAACAGAAACAATGTTCTATCTATACAGCCTGCGCAATATTTATTTTCTAGTCACAGCAGATTGATAGTTCTTGAACAAGTTTGTTATTGCAGTTCTTAGCTGTATCAAAATTTCACACATAGGTTGCACATGCTATCATTTTAAAGTAATTTGTGTAACTTTTGTCTAAACATTTCTGCATGCCTAAATTTTATTTTATACTAATAAGTGGTGCTATTCTTAATTTGTGTAATTAATTTATAGTAGCTATGATACCTCTGTCACAGTCTAGTGTACCATAGTTAAAATAGATTCACTTTTGCTTGTGAAAGTAAAAGTAATGCCTCTTACTGATAATAGAGTGTCTGCTATTACTGGTAGTCTTCAGATATTGCAGATACAAGATCTGTTATTTTTATTATAATTAAAGAACATGATTTGGAGACCCTTTAATAAAAGATGTAGAAGTGGGGCACATGTGGAATAAATGTAGCTGTAAGAATTCTGGTACTGAGTTATCAGGTTTTTTTAGAAGAACATTTTTAAAAGGTGAAGTAGAAGAGCTTTTCCAAATATTTCTTGATTGAATTGGTACATAATTAAAGTCGCTGTGTAAGATATTTGAAAGGGTGGAAGGGTACTCCGTATTATAACTTATGACAGAGAATCACATTTCATGCATAATTACATTTTTCAAAAAGCTTCAGTGGAAGAAGTACTTAGAGGTCAAAATCAAGCAGCAAAAAATTATCTTGGAGAAATAGTAAGTTAGAAATGAAAACTAAAGTGAAAAATTCAAGACAAGCAAAAATTCCAAGCAGACAGACAAAATATGAATAAATAAAAGACTGAAAATAATAGTAAAAATTCTTTTTTTTCCCCTCTTGTGTAATGAGTATAGGTGTATGGATTTGCTATGTGGATGTTACACTTTTTCTGAAACTCTCAAGTTTCATAAAATATTAAGATAAGCTTCTTAGTAGCTATTTTGTAGTCAACTAGTAACAGTGCATAACAATAACAGTTCATGACAACTAATTTTTATACCAAATGTTTTTTTTTCACTCAGCTGGACCACCATACACTCTGTATTTTGGCATTAAATTTTATGCAGAGGATCCGTGCAAACTTAAAGAAGAAATAACAAGGTATAGTATTCAATGAAAGGATAGTTTGTTGTTCTCAGACTAGTAATGTATTTCAGCCAGATGCATATTGTTGTAGTGTGTCTGGGTTCTTGTTTTTTGCTTGAACATCCGAATGTTTTTGCTTGAACATTTGGTATGAAGATAGAAAATTGCTATGAGATTCACAGTGGTTGTTATGGACAACTGTTTGGAAGCCCAAGAAGAAAAGGTGTTCTCTAGTGCATCAAAAACCAAAGGGCCTTGATGTACATTTGTGGTGGTGGTTTTTTTTTTCTTCTGCGTTTATATTGTGCTATAATCAAGTTTAGAGTTTACTTGGATATCAAATGTAAATACAATGAATGTTCTTCTTTATTGGCCATAGCAAAAATTCCTGAGCTGTTTTTCAAGAAGACTTCTTTAGGTCCTTCTAAAAATATGTGAAGGAAATTGAAGAGTTACATGCTTCTGATTCTTTTACCTAAGCTTGGCCTTTACAAAATATGAGTGTGTACACAGTAACACATACACATGCATGCACACAGACACATGCACACACATAGTTATCTGAACTCTCTCACACAGGGTTTTCTGTTTGGTTTATTTATGAAATGTCTCAGACAATTAGTTTTAGGTTCAAAAGGAAATTTGAGAATTTGGGTAGGTAGGCGACAAAATTAGTGTGCTGGCTTGCATGAACACATACCAAAATATTACCTTTGATGTTGTAATAATATGACCCATGAGAATTCATTAGAATGCATGCAAGGTTTTTAATTTTCATTAATCAAAGGTGGCAGTTGTTGCAGAACAGGCAGAATAGTCTTCCTATACTGGAGTGAGAAAATTTTTTTGTTTCCTTACTGGCACAAGGAATGGAAGTCTCCAATAAACAAGGCTGAGTCTGGCCCAGTATAAATAATAAATGCTGTGACTTCACAGGTAAAAGAGCATAAGTTAGTGGCAGTGGGATGCCCCTGTGCCATGGAATTTCGATGCATTTTTCTTGTATTTTTCTAGAGGCTCTTTAAATCCTGCTTACAGGGAAAGATGGCCCTGGGAAGGGAGCTTTGGCCACTGAACCTGTTGTGATTTCCTCATGGGCGTCAGGGTGGAGGCAGGGGGCTAAATTTTCAGAAATTGTTTCTCTTTGCCCTGTGATCTGCAGTCAGTGATCTGCACTGCTGATTAGGTGTGTGAATCCAGTCAAGAAATGTTGTAGTGTGATTAGGGAACCTCTGTTCATGTCAGTATTTGGTCATGCAGAATTGGCACATCACACAGAGGGAGGGCCTCAGATATATTGTATTGACAGTCTTCTACAAAATACATTGATTAGCCAAATACCTTCAATATTTATGAGCATTTATTTCTGTAGGCTCTTAAGTCTTGGAAGGAAGACGCTTTTTTTTTGTCCAGAGGAGGGGAGAGTGGGAACCAACCAACCAACCAACCAAAAAAACAACAAAAACCCACCTGCTTAGAATAACTTGGCTTGGAAGGCACTCTTAAAGGTCCTTCACTTAGGGGGCATTAAAGACCCTACTTTTATTTATGCTAATAATTTTCTGCCTAAGTGATGTGTTCCAGTGATGTGTTAACTATTTTGTGCTAACCGATTGAAGCATGTATTTATTACTTTAAAGGATATGAGAGCGAACTCTTGTTATTAGATGTTAATGATCTGTGTCATTACATGATTACTCTTTGCAAATAATGAAAACCTGCCAAACCTATAATTGCTTTGCAGAAAAATCTGTCTGCCTTGTAGGCAAAAGCTAATGCTGCAGTGTTTGCTGGATGTGTTTGCTAGAGGAAACTGGCACTTAGGCACTATAATATATGCATAAAAAACTGGACAGCACACAAGACGAGTGCTTTAGCTACGAGTTTGGACAAATGGCGTAGTTTTGTGAGGAGCTTAGTGGCTTCAGTGGGAATCACTTAAGCACTTAAAGTTGGCTCTGTTTTTGCAAGAAGGTGGCTGTTTTGAAGATTCCTATGCTGTTTTATTTTGAGATTACACTATGAGAATGCAGAAATATAGGTGCCTCTCCAAGGAAAATAAATTTGTAGCATGATGTGGTACAAAGCTCTGCTTTGTTGAGATGGAAAAGTGCTAACAGAAATACAGGTGCATATAAGAAATGCATTTCATGTTGAAAAGAAGATTTTGTGTACTCCACAGGAGGTGTGAAATCCTCTTTGTCATTATCATAATTCAAATAAAGAAGATTTGTGTAGGTAGGACTGCAAGCATAAGCTAGAAGTAGTACTTAGTGAAGAAACACTGAGTGCTTTGTGTTGCCTAATGACATTCCCAGAAAATTCTTATGCAATGCCTTGCTTCTTTAAGGTAGAGATTATCAACCATTTTTTAGAGGATGGACCTTCCTATTGTCTGTCACAGCACGAATTCTGGGGGATCATTAATCAGAAAGACATCGGCATCCTTGTTCAGAGGTTCATCTGGCTGAAAAGTCTAGTAAATTTGGTTGGATCTTAGATGTTTTGAGAGTCAGCTGTGCGTAATCTGCGGTTTGTAAACTTCCATGAAAGCAGTGTAGGTGCACTTTGAACTTACAGATCATTCTAAGGTGCTTTCATAAGTAACTTGTACCAACATAGAATAAATTATTTGCAGAGTAGCTAAAGGTTTCTATGTAGGTAACATTGAACTAGTGAATAATGAAAAAGCTATGCGCTTGTATGGATGACCCTTTTCTTTCTGTAAAAAGCTACTTCTCAGTATTGTTAGTTTTGTAGGAGCTAGTGAAAGGAATTCACTTAGGATGGTGAGACACTGCATAAATCTGTTGTCATAAAACAGGACAAAATTCAAACAGGGTTTAAAAGATTTCCTGTAAATTGTTATGGTGAGTTGCAAAACCAAGCAGATCCTTTGTATGATGGCTTGTTTCCTTGTCTTTACTTTTCTATTTTGTGCATATTTATTTACTGTAAGTGCTCTCAGTATCTGCTTTATCAAGTGTAGAAGCAGGTTATGACTTTGAAAATTGCATTTTTACCCCTGCCATCTCTGTTGCAAGAAGGACATGGAGGTATGGACTCCATCAAACCTGCTTGCTGCATTATAGCTGATACTCTGGTGTGTGAAGAGGAAATATTAGAGTAAAGAAGTATCCAATACTCAGTTGTCCTTTATGTTGACCACTGGTCAGGTTAAACTTTGGCCCTTTTATAGGTTTCTTGTTCAATTTTTCTGATCATGGTCCTCGTCCCTACTTCCTCACTGCTCTATGAAAGCCAAAAGAGTGAAATGATATTATTAGGGGGAAAATTATTTGCATCTGCGCAATATAAGCAGATGGGAAAACTACAGTGCTCCCCTACCTAGGTTGTTTCACTAGATTAATCTTAGTTGTTACTTCAAGGTCAATGTGGGAAAAGCCATTCAGAGAGGAATTTTTATTGTCACATAATTATGGTACAAGGTATGTCTACAGTTAACTGGGTGACTTTGAAATATTTTTTGGTGCATCAGGCTTGAAATAACAACTTTGTTTTCTCTTTGTGTTTTAGGTATCAGTTTTTCTTGCAGGTAAAGCAAGATGTTTTACAGGGTCGTTTACCTTGTCCAATCAACACTGCAGCACAGCTGGGAGCATATATAATTCAGTGTAAGTTCTTCTGGCCAATTGAGAGCTTATTTCTTTTAATCATGCATTATGACTAATTTTAAGTGGTGACTGAAGACATCATTAACACTTTATGAATTTGATTTAAAACAGAAAAAAACTAACGTGACTGATTTCATCTAAAGAACTGTAAATAGATGACCATTCTGAACAGATTTCCCTTAAAATATGGCAAATATGAAGCAGGAAAATATGCAATTATGATAACATCTTCATTGTATTATGAGACATTAATAAAAAGAATGCATTTTTCTCCCGTAATCAATTTTAAGTAGGTTGGAGCTGTAGTTTTGGTATAATATTCTGTTCCTATGATTCTAATCTCAGATATTCTGTTGGGAAACAATGAGAAAGTTTATGGGAAGAGCAGAGTTAAAGCATGGCAAAGGTTACATCCAGCGGGTTAAAGTTAGTCCAGGCACCAGCAAGCGTGCATTCCCATGGACTCTATAAAAAGCTTTATCCTTTTATTTAGGGTTTGCAGTTGCTCAAATATAGAAAGACACCTGAGAAATGTCTATACTGAACATATGAACTGAATATATGTCAGATACTGAACATATGAACGCAAGGCATCAACACCAAGGTCCAGGGTGCTTTTTCAAGGGTGATGTGCCAGACCAGGCTTTTGTTCTGTTCCAAACTGAGATTAAGTGTGTTTGTGGGAATTCAGAAATAACCGAGGAGTTCTGCTGGTGTAATGCTATCAGTGGTGTTTTTCCCAGTGAAGCTAGCAGCTGCTGAGATCTGGAGAAGAAGCCAGGGCCATATGTTCTGCTCCAGCCACAGGCCTGGCTTTCACCATTCAGGTTGTGCCTGGGTGTCATCTTTGGCCTCTGAGCACATCCTTTCCTTAACACAGGAGTTGTTTTCCTCGTTTTGTGATCAAAGATTGGAGACTGTTATAGTGGTGATGGTGGAAAAATCAGTATCCATGGCACAGTTTGCTGAATATACCAGTTTTCTTATTGGAAGTTCTGAAGTTGTTGCTGTTGTAGTAATTCCTCTTCTTATTCCTACTGTGGGCAAGAACCACGATATTTTTATGGAGGTTTTCCAGAGAAACTTCTCAACATTCTTATGCAGCGGATCAGGGGCTTTTTCTAACAATGTCGTTCCAACATTCTGGAAAGAAGCATCGGTAATTAAATGAGTCTTTTCCTTCTTGGCTCTTGAAGCCTTATTTTGGCTATGCTTTTGGTTTAGTGGGAATTGGATAGAAACCTTCTGTGAAGTCTTTCTCGGAGAATCCCAGTCTACAGATGTTACTCAGCGTTATTAAAAAATACAAATACTAACTTTTGCAGAGTTTCTCAGATAGATGCAATTATAGTTAAGATCAGTAGATGTGAGTTCTGACCAAGGTGCATATTTGTTTTATAATTACAGCATATGAACAGACATGACTAATGTATCCAAATTCAGGGATGCTTCAAAGAAAATTATATTGACTATTCATTATGTTCTTTCCTTTAAGAAAATTCTTTAAAAAGTTATTTTTGTTTTGAAAGTGAATTTAATATCTAGAAATACATTGATATGTTATTGAAAAAGGAAGATTCCTCACAAGAAACAATGCTACTAGAAGACCTTCCCTCTGGTTGTTTCAGGATATTTGTCTCCATTTGCACTCCCAGGCATATTTTCTGTTTGAGATAAAACATGGAAAATAGGTGACCTTTGTTTTCTTCTTGTGTACTGCAGCTGAGCTGGGGGACTATGACCCGTACAAGCACACCGCAGGCTATGTCTCAGAGTACCGCTTTGTCCCAGACCAGAAGGAAGAGCTGGAGGATGCCATAGAGCAGATACACAAAACTCTGATGTAAGAATTCAGTACTGTTGGGAACTTGTTGGTTAATGCCAGATTCAGAGATGCTTGGTAGGTGGGGAGGAACAACTTGTGGTACAGAGCAGAGATCTCTGGACTTGAGGAAAGAGCACAGGGCATCTAATTGTGCTTTTCAGAAACAGAAAAGGTTTTATATAACTGAAGTTGTTCTTTTAGAAACTGAGTAGGACAATAACTGGAAATGTGAGGTCTGTCAGACCTAGGTATGGGTGTTTCAGAACCAGCAGTTTTAGTAAAACATATGCCAGAAGTTCAACCATACATAAAGCGAAAATAAACATTTACTTGCTTATGTCCAAGCTCATGTTCCTGGTAAGTGTAAAGATGCTTGTTCTAACAAATCCAAGTTAGGTGCAATTGTGATATATTTGTTAAGATGAGAGCAGTAAGAAACATTTTATGAATATGGTCATCAAACCATTTGTCAAAGTAATGCAGAGATAATCACCCATCGTGTATGTAGATCTAGATATCTTGATTCTCTTGCTGTAATGAAGCCACAGTCTGGATAAAGGTTAAGTAATTTTTGCCTGCAGTATTGTTTATTACTGTGATTTGTGTCTTGTTTAATGAGAATAGGTATTAACTCAGGGTCACAGCTGTTCTCTTTGAAAAGTTCTCCAGTAATTGCAGCCTGTGACAGTTGCCACATTGCCTGAGCTTTCTCTTCCAGGGAAGAGAGTCTGTTGTTCAATTTCTGTGAGGTTGCTTGACAGCATTATAGTAACTGATGCATTTCAGAGAACTTGCTACAGAGTCACAGATAGTTTGCTGAGTTCAACATCACAGAATTTGTTTGTGAGAAATGAAACTTGAGGTTAATTACTGTGAACCAGGCCACCAATACTAAGCAGCCTCTATTCCTCTCTCCCAAGTTTCTGTAGTCATTAGTGTAGTCATCAGTAAATGTTATTAAGACCCATTTGCTTCAAAAGGTTTGTAACCTTGAAGATGAAATTCAGAAGCCAGGGGAACAGTGGTTGTGGAGTATTAACTGTCATAACAGTCTCTAGTGTTTTTATATGCTTATTGACTTAGACCTCTGATACTCTCTTGCTGCTTGGCTGCAGTTAGGTGTCAGGGTATTAGCAGCAACAGAATAAAGAGTAAAATTAAGGTGTACCCACTACTAGCTCAGCCTGATTTTTATCATCAACACTCCCAACATTGACTTCTGCACAGGTGACAGCAATCTCTTTAGTTAAGAAGTTTGAAGCTGTAATGGCTGAAGGCATCCCAAATTATCTCATTGATCAGAGATATTTCAGTTTGGAAGAACTGTTTTATTCTTTCTGGATCTCAGCATAAAAACACAGGGCTTGTTTGTTTGGTTTTTTCAGGACAGCTGTAGCACTGCATGTACCTTGTTTCTGCTAGTTACGTCCAGAAAAACAATTTTTGATTGCGTGTTTCTCTCAGTTTTGTTTTACACAGCACAATAGCTATTCAGGGATTCAGTAAGGATGCAGTTTTCTGAGGAAACTTCTAAATCAAGAAAGGTGAGGGAAGTCAGAGGGTGGAGGGGGTTTCTGACTGCACCAAGTCTCTGCAGCCTCCCTGCTGTGACTGTTGTCCCATCTATAAACCAACGTGACAATCCCAAGGTCGCATAGCAGTGTGAGGTGCCCCAAAGTCATCATGCACATGTGGAGGATCAAGCAGTGACTTCAGGGCTTCCATCTTCTTCCTTCAGAAGCTCCAGCTCACATCTTTACTTCCTTTAATCTTTTTGCAAATACAGGTTTTTATACAAATATGAAACATTATGTTATGTTTGTAACATTTAGATATGTTATAAAAAGACCCACACTTGTTTGTAATTTGAGTCCTTTGGTACTTTCAGAGACAAATGAAAATAGAGGAATAAGTGCATCAGCATTTTTCTGAGAAAGGTCACTAAGGACAGACTAACATCAGTATTTAAATTGGTGCTGGATTCTAGCACTAATTCAGTAATGGGGTAATCCACTTTTCTCAGGACTGAGATTTAGCCTGCTTGGGAGCTCACTGAGACAGTACTGCTTCAGTGAACAAAATCAAGCTGTGGACTAAATTTTTAGAGTAAAAGTTGATAAAACATGTGACAGATGTGACATCACTGATGTGCTGAATATCCAGAGTTCTACGTATTGTGAATACAGACCATGAAGGACACATCTACTGGGAAATCCAGCTCTAGAAGAAAGGGATTTTTCTTATGACCTTCAGATCTGCTGCATTTCCAGGAGTCTTTGGAAAGAAGAGCTATCATCTGAAGCAGTGATAAGATGAGCTGGATCAGCCCATCTCTCAGATACAAAGGAAGGCATTTTGAAAACCTCTACTATTGCATTTAGCAATGCCATTTCATGTCTTTGATGTTGGATGTGGTTTTTACCTTGTCAGGCATAACACAAAGTTGGGAAAACCTGGACAGTAGCTGCTAGGCTAGAGAGAATGGGGGCGTATTACAGGACTTTTCCAGGTCTTGAATCAAAATGTTGAGCTCTGCTTCACACATTGGATTTGAAAGGTAGCAAATCCAGTGAAGTATTTCCCTAAGAAAAGAATCACAGGGTGAAGCTGGTTATGCATCTTTTTGAGTTGATATTTTTATAAGATATGCTGTACTTTCCCAATAACAGTCCAGTAACTTTCACAGAAGTGTTGAAAAGGAGTGAAAATGAAAATGCAGGTTCAGCTATTTCAAGCTTACAAACAAGAATCTTACTCTTTTATCAATGGCAGATATTAAGGGAAGAACAAATTAAATTTGAGGATAAGGCTTTAAATTTATTTAGTTATTTTGTTCTTTTCAAAAATAAATCCTTTGTCAGTGTTGTCAAATATGTTCCTAGTAGCTGGTTTTTTATTTTTTTTTTTTTTTTTCTCCCAGTTTCCCCCAGTTGTTTACTACCAGAATGCAGCTGATGGTGCTTTTCAACTGATGGATTGATATCTGCAGATAGGAAGGCAGGCTGGATCTTTGAAACTGCTAATCTCATGAGACAAACGCCAAACTTTGTTTTCACAGTAGTACACTGGGCTATTGCCAGTTGGTGTGACTTTCTTTAGGCAAGGTTTTTTGAAGAAAGGAATATTTTATCTGAAGTCCTGAACCTTGCTTCAGAAATCATCTGTAGCTTCAGCGCTGCTATGGGGATATAGTACCCCAGTCAGTCATACCATTCCTGCTTTAGTAAAAATCATGTAGTTATTGGGAAAAAACTTATTTTGCATATTGAAGCCTAAAAATGGAATATCTGAAGTGTGTTTGCAGGGAAAAGATTAACCACTGTCGTAGGCACACATTGTATATATGATAGCATATATGTCTGTGGTAGGAGACCAGTAGAGATCTAGTCTTACTTGGAGCAAGAAGTAGAGTGTTGAAAAGACAAAGTAACAGTCTAAAAAATGATAGGAAGGTCTGTGTATGTGTTCAGCAAACTGTATTTATTAATATAATCAATTTTTACATTTTGACTGGAAGTGCAAAGTTCTTACACAGAATTTTGTTTACAGGGGTCAAGTTCCTGCTGAGGCAGAAGTAAACTACTTAGGTGTGGCCAAATCCCTGGAAATGTATGGAGTTGATCTCCATCCTGTTTATGTAAGTATTGTTTAAACTTGCTAACAGTGAAAAAAAATTGTACTAATGCAGGAAACAGTCCACAGAATAACTTGAAAGGAAACACTGTACTTAAGAAATGCAAAGGAAGAGATAATTATGGATGGAGAGAATTCAGTCACTAATACATACAGAAGCCTAATGGTTTTCAGATGAAATGTTGTGATTCTATTACACCTATAAAAAAGCCATCAGTTATGCTCTGGAAAAAAACAATTCAGATAGATAAGAAGTAAATAGAGAAAGTCTCAGGAGAGAGGAGTGAGAGCTATAGCCTTTGTCTTTGACAGAAAAATTTGCAGATTATTCTTGTTTAAATAAGAACAAGTGTCTCCTGAAACCTTTTCAATACTGTTGCAAAAATTAGGGTGGGGTAGCAGCAGCTGGCTTTATAAAATATTTGTTGTGAAGGTTTTACTAAAGATCCAGTGTACGTTTTTAGTTTTTCCCATGTTGCATCATGCAGCATTGCAAGTTATCTGTATTGCCTCATCAAAAGCCTTCACTTTTTTTGTCTATTAGCATTAAGTTGGGATTGGATCCAAGTCATTACCTGGAGGCTATATGCTCCTGGTGTATACATTATTCTGTCTTGTTTGAATAATTGCACTTGTGGCAGGTTTTTTTTTAATAAAAGAAAATCAGGAGTTCAAATGGGAAGTTGTAATGTAGATAGTTCACTGAGTTAGATGTCAGTACTTAGTAAAATTGCTTGAAAGAAAATAAAGAAATCAAGATACTACCAGAAGATTAAGTGTGTATTTCCTGCCGAAAAATGTGTAGCCTGCAATATAAAGTATTTTTTAATGCACCCCGTGGCTTAATTGTATTCATACCTCATGCTCTGTGCCCTTCCCATCCATAGAAAACTGGGGGAATGAACTGGAACAAGATTCAACATGATTCAACAAAATCATGTTAAATTAGCAGAGCTTGGAATTTTTTTTTTTTCTCATGGCTTGCTTTTGCTGTGCAATGAAATCCCTGCCTGGGTAATGAGGGGTGATTTCCAATATGCCCAAGTCTAATTCATGAACATCATTGTTCCTACTTATATTACAGCAGCAGCAGAAGCCCTCATTTGGGACTGAAGCTACACACATGACGAGATGTAGTTCTTTTTCTCATTTGATCATATTAAAAGTAAAGTCACCTTTAGCAGTTAATTCACTGAGGAGCACAGTCAGAACTTGCCAGGTGTGCTTTTCTTTGTAAGGTCTGTAATTACACAGGGCACTTTCCACAGTCAGTCTGTCTCATGATTAGTGGTTTTTGCTGTTCATACTCTGCTAGTTTAGAGATTGCAGTGCTCTTCCTCATTGCCTAAAGTAGCAGATAAGTGAGCTTTTTCAGTTAACTTTCTTTTAACCTCATGCAATAAGGTTTGCACTCTTTCAAGTGTAGGGTGCTTCTGATTTTGGTTACTGACCATAAACTGCGGAGGTGGGCGCTTTCGGCACCTCAGCACCAGCGTTTTCACCCTGTTCTCTCCCAGATTTATTTGTATACTGACTTTAGAAATGGTTTCCTTTGGAGGAGATGGTGCACGTGGCTGTTCCCTGTATTACATTGCCCATTCTGAACAAAACAAAACAAAAAAAAAGATTGTCTCTCCCAAAGGAGCTACTTCAGTTTTTAGCAGTATGCAACTGACACTAGTTTAGGCTGGAGAGGGCAGCTGTGCGGTTGTATCGTAGTAGAATAGATCAGAAAATTGCTATTTTCCTTTAGCTGAAAGTTGGTATATCTGTTACATTCATGCCTCAATAAAGAATTTAGTTTCTGAGTTTTGGCCATCTGCCAAATAGCCAAAAGTAATTCCATATTAAAAAAAATTAGTTATTTTTGGTTTTCACCATGGCATGTGGAAACTCCCATTCTTTCGCTTGCTGCCATTCTTTCTTACCTCTTTGCCCCCTTGCCTACAAAGTCTTGTATAGGAGTTTTCATCTGTAGATCAAGTACTGTTTTCCCATTTGCACAGAGAGCAAAACAGAATATTCAAGTCATTAGGATGACTTCCTCACTGGACCTCAGTGCTTGCAACTGTATGAATGATATACACTTTTATTTTCTAGGGTGAAAACAAATCTGAATACTTTTTAGGATTAACACCCATAGGAGTTGTTGTCTACAAGAATAAAAAACAAGTAGGAAAATATTTCTGGTATGTATTATTTAAATATGCAGTCTGCACTAACACAAAAATAATGTTGTATGGAAATGTACGGTTTGTGATATCTCTTTGAAAGGTTAATTATAGCAATAGAAAAAAGTATACTTGAAATCCTTTATATTTCTCTGGATTATTCAGATTTTTAATTCTTTGATGATCCAGGTATTGAAAACTGTAGATCACCTTTACCATACTCACGTTGAAATGTTTACATACCACTATTTTTTTGATGATATCTGGGTCATACCTGAAAAATAAACCTACCTGTGAATTCTTTTTTGTCTTTGTGTGTAAATATATACAACTTTATATTTTATGATGTGTGAAATTAAAGGCTCACGAAGTTCTGTCTTGTCTTTTTTTCCCCTCAACATTACAGGCCTAGAATTACAAAAGTTCACTTCAAGGAAACACAGTTTGAACTTAGAGTCCTGGGAAAAGATGTAAGTTTTTATTTAAGCCTGAAAGGATAAAGAAGTAATCTCAGGTCTAATGAGATTGGAAATTTTGTATGTCCATCAAAGTCTAATTTATTTCACTGAAATTTACTGTAAGAAACCATCAAAGTGAAATTCATTGTATTGATAATTACTGCAAGAAAATAACATTATCCTCAAGTGCAGCATCCTAGAGTTGTAAGATGGTTTGGATTGCAAGGGAGCTCAAAGATCACCTCGTTCCAAACCCACTGCTACGGTCAGGGACACCTTTCACTAGACCACGTTGCTCAAAGTATCACCCAACCCGTCCTTGAATGTTCCTAAAGTGGCTTGCAGTTTTGTTAAAGGGAGAGATGAAAGAAAGGTTTTTTGTCCACGCTTTGTAGCAAGGGGAAAGAACTTCAGCAGTACCGAAGTAGGAATTTTATAATTAATTTTTATCATTTTACGTTGTGCTCTATAAATCAGACTGCTTCTGCAATGCCTTGTTAATGGTATTGTGGAAGTGCTTATAAAGTGCTTTTAAACTAGGATGCAGGGAAAGTTAATATTAAAAAAATGTGGATGAAGTAAAACTCAAAAAGCTGTTGGGCACAAGTAATTTTGTAGCTAGGACACAAGCAGCCATATTATACAGCTTGAAACCTATTTGTCAGAACTTAACATCATGCATTGTTAGGCCATTTGAGAGAAAGCAATCTTGGTTCCAGTGGAGCAAGGACAACAGTTTGATAGCAGGAGAGGAGGTTTTAAGGTAGAGTCAGTGTAAAAAAGACAAAGATATTCATCATCTATGAAACCTGTGGGGTAGGGGGGGAGAAGTGTTGAGGATGTAGGAAAAATAATGAAGTGTAATAAAGCAAATAGTTGCAGTCAGTCTGTGAATTTTGGTATGTGATTTAGTTACAAGTTTAGTTTGAGGAATTATTTTTTGAAAATACTTTGTATGTCTCTTTGGAAGATCAAGACTGAAAGTTTATAGTTTTAAGTGGTATTAACCTGCTGACAGTAATCCCCTTTACTGTTTTTTATGTGTCTTTGTTCACCTGTGTAGTGGTTGTCAGTCTCATCTGTGATTTTTCTATGAGGCCTTTTGGTATGTTGAGTACATTCCATGAAATATAAGTGTACCCCTGACTGGTTGTCTTGCTTCTGTCATGGACAGCGTTTTTTGTCTCCACAGATGTATTGGCAAATTTTGCCTTTGATACTCCCAAGTGGTTTGGTGTGGTAATCTGTAGATTTTCTTTCTGATGGTGTGTTTGTTGAAATAGGAGAGCTGTTGGAAAGCTGGAGGAGGGAAGGGTGGGAAAATTTGTCACAATGTTTGATGTAAAGTGTGAATGATAGTTCATGTATAGTGTATAGTTTATGTATAGTTCACCTTTTACTTTTACCTTTTACAAGTTCGAGTTTAACTTTTAATGAATTGCTTGGAATTGAAGGTGCACTTTCTGTTTGATGCCATATTTGTATAGTTTTTGTCTGAACCATGTGCAATTGCAAAGTTTTAACATGCCAAGTAGAAAACCTGGAAGCTTTAGAAAATATGCCTAATTTGAGACTGTGAATGTTGATGGCTGGTGAACACTTACCATTGTGATCATAAGGCAAACATTTTGACAGAACTTAGTAGTTTCAAGCTTCGACAGGTACTTCTAGGAAATTGTTCAAAAGAACAGTAAGTACAAGGGTGTGTACCATCATTAAATTCTTCTTGGCATCTAATACTAATTTGAAGTGTTTCTACAGTGCTTCATATCCTAAGAAGATCAGGAAATACCAAAATGGCAAAAAAAGATCTTCTTTTCCCTTTTTGTTAACAGTCTGGTAGTGCTTTGAACAAAATTATATCTTGAAATAAGTAAACAGTATCCTTAGTCTCTAGAGTAAAGCTGTTGTAACAATTTATGCTGTTCTATACCCAGAGGAGGAGAAGCTCATCAGTGTATTTGTATGAATGTATGTTCCAATACTCATTGAAAAATTAATTTGCAAATTCATTTTATTCCTCTGTTTTTTTGGAATAAATGCCATCACTTTGTCCTTCCATGTGGGACATGACTATATGTTAGGAGAGTAAATATGCTGTTTTCACTCCATCCTTCCTCCAGGGATATCACTTTACAGCCCAGGGAATTAATACATTCCTTGTATCAGATGTGCTGTATCAAGTCTGGAATGTTTTACATGTTTCCGGTTAGATGGGAGAATTCCAGAAAATACTCAGGAAGAGTAGAAATAATAGGGATTTTCTCATTTCTCAAATGGAATTTTATGGCATATAGTGAGGAAGCTAACACCATCTAATGGAGCAGATTATTTCTGAGTGAATCGAGTGCTTTATGTGGATCATGTTTTCCATATGGTAATGAAAACTCTGTATAGGGTGTATTTTGGTTCATGTTTCCACACACACTGGCTGCCTTTATTCACACTGACAGCTACCTTTCATAAGTACCCCTGCTCATCAAGAGGAAGCTGTTGGTGCCTTTAGTACCGGTGAAGTGCTGCTTTTTCCCTTGTGGTAACTTCTTTATTTTCTCTTCCTGGGATTTTTTTGAGATTTTTTCAAACCTGCCAGAATGGGACGGAAATGGACATCCAGATATTCTTGACAAATGACAGATGTGACAGTCTAAACATACAGGTCCATATCTTTAGGCTGCCTAAAAACCACACTGTGGAGTGTTTGTGTCAGCCATGCTTATGGCTGCTCATTTTGTTGTTTACATTGCTTCACTTTTCGTAAACTTGATGTTTACTGAGTGAAAATATTATTGCTTAGTGTCTGATAATGAAGTAAGGTGCTTCGCCTTTTCTGTTTTGTAGTGTAACCTCTTGTACTCCTTCATATCTCTTCCATGAAAACAATTCCTGTATATTTAACTTCCTTGCATTTTTTCCTGCATACCCATTGCTATTGTGTACAAGCATGACCATCAGTATTTTGGTTTTATCTTTCACTACTTTCCTTGTATTATGTTTTGTCCCTGAGGCTATTGCCCCTTAATAAACAAAATACTGCCTTTAATATTTGTCCGTCCATAACTTATCCTGACGTGTGAGACTGAAACTCTTTTTCATTGATGTTAATCATTCAATGAGTATTTCATTGTCCTCTGAGTGGACCCGTGCTGTGAATTCTGAACTATAAACATGTTAGGTTTTCTGTGGCACCTCTAAGTATCAGCATGAAAATAGGAACCCTTTCCCTGCAAGGACTGCACAGGACGACTCCCTGAACATGACAAACAATTGCAAAAAATTTGTGAAAATGAGAAAAGTTTGTATTTTCTTGCAGTTTTCTTTAGGAAAACAGAAATCCATTTAGCGCCTGTGCACAGTTCCTGGTAGGGATAGATGTCTGTTGAGCAACCTTGCTGGAAACAATCCAGCAATATAGGTGGCTGCCAAAGCCGTTCCCTCTCCACCAGCAAAACAGAGCTTGTTCACAGTGGATGCACTATGTGGAAGTGAGTAGTCAAAGGGGTGCACAGCACACCTGTTACTTCCCCCGTATGAGGAACACGGCTGGCTCCCCTAGATTTTTCTCTCAACTAAGGACATGAAACAAAACAGCAAAAAACATGCTTTAATAGAGTGTGTGGGCTGGGAATGTAAATGTAATAATATGCAGGAGTGAGAGATGTGGGGCTTTTTTTGCCTGTAGGTACCAAGCACTTCTGTGCTGTTCCCCACAACCCCATGCTGTTTTCTGTAACTGCACCTTTTACTTCAGTTGCACTGTGTCTGAACATGCACATGAATGATTTCACTTCTTCACAGAGTTTATGCAAAGTTTTTCATGTTTTTCATGTTTCTCATTCACCAGATCAGAAAGCATTCAATGTGCAAAGCACTTGCTTTCATTATTTTTGTTGTAAAGGAGGGTTTTTTTGAATTCTGAATTTTATATTGCAAGAGATTTTGAAATTTGGGTATTTAAGTCAGAACAACCTCCAAAACTGTGCAGTTAAAAATGATTTACACACTTTCAAGACATACCTTCCTCTGCAGTCTTCCATATTCAGGTGAAGAGGCCTATCTCAGCTGAATTCATAAAGTGAAATTGGTAAAGACTCTTCAAGAGCAATACCAAACACTGATGCAAATCAGAAGTATATAATACTCCCCATTTTGGTGTCTGAAAGCTGTCTAAATGCAGTATTTTTCTGTTCTTTTAAGTAGTCTCAGAAAACCCTGTAAATATGCTTTATTTTTTTAATCTGCTTTTCCTAAGTGTTAGAAATATGAAAAATAATTATATTAATAAAGTAGTTCAGCTGTACCTCTTCTTTTCCTATCAAATGCTATATTCCATCTTGAGTTACAAGTTCTAGCCAGGAACTTTTAATTTGATATATTGCTCCTGCAATTTCTTGGGAAGACTGAACAGGGTTTGAAGGTATGTTCCTCCCAGTCTTAAGTCCAATTTAGCTTATGTACAATTTCCAAACAAAAATAGCATTTTGATCTTCCTTGTGGTTTAAGAATTTCAAGTGACTTTTGTATCATTTGCATTTGCACCTACTTAAGTCAGAGTGGTAGTGGAGGATGGAGGTGAGCCAGCACAGTGGTATTAATATGTCATATAAAAGAGTTTAGTTTGTTTTGGTTGGTTGGGTGTTCTCTTGTCTTTTCTTAACCACTTTCTGAGCCCTCTTAGAAGGACTGTAAGACTGGTTCAAGGCCTGCATAAACTTAAATTCACTGCCACTAAGGTGTTACTCTCAGCTTTTTAAAAAAAATTCTTCTTTAGTATTTTTTAATTGGTGTAATACAAGGCAGAGATATGTTTATTGCAATTTTGACATGCTTTATGCAAACTGGCACAGCTTTATTAATTTTAATTCCTGACTTGATACGACATTCTTAAAGATTGAACTCGTCTAATGACTAATAGTACATCATCTGTTACATGAGCTATGACTGGTATGCATTATGTAAATATATAAAGACAGAGTATTTTCTATTGGAATTAACAATTAATAGTATCCAGG